CTTATCCAACCACAGACACAGGGACCTCATTCAACATAACAGATGGGTAGGGGCAATACTCTGTATAGTATCATACAGTTGGAAATATTTGAATTTTTTCTAACATCTAAATATTCAGATTTTAGAGGCTTATCCAACTACAGATGTAGGGACTTCATTCGACATAGTGGATGGACAGGAGCAATACTTGGTATAGTATCATACAGTTGGAAATATTTGGACGTTTTCTAATGTATAACTATTCAGATTTTGGAGCCTTATCTATTCCCAGACACTAGGACTTCTTTCAATGTAACAGATATGTATGGGTAATACTCAGTATGGTATCATACAGTTGGAAGTATCTGAATGTTTCTAACATCTAAACATTCAGACTTTAGAGCCTTATCCAACCACAGACACAGGGACCTCATTCAACATAACAGATGGGCAGGGGCAATACTCAGTATGGTATCATACAGTCAGCAATATTTGAATTTTTTCTGACGTCTAAATATTCAGATTTTGGAGCCTTATTCATTCCCAGACACTGGAACTTCTTTCAACATAACAGATATGCATGGGCAATACTTGGTATGGTATCATACAGTTGGAAATATCTGAACGTTTCTGACATCTAAACATTCAGACTTTGGAGCCTTATCCAACTCCAGACACAGGGACTTCATTCAACATAATGGATAGGCATGAGCAGTATAATGCAGCAAGCCAAAATGTGTGAGTTCTCTGTACTATTGTGACTGTTTCATACAGAATTTTTACGTATTGTATCAAGAGACTCAAGTTCTGTTGGCAACCAAGTTGTATCTGAGAGAAGTGAGCCTGTTGAGTTGCACTCTAGTGGATCTTCAGACCTGGACTTTCTTTGAGCAAAGTTACAATCATATTGAGAGAAACTCTCGAAACATCTTCAGGAACCTGCATCTGAGTCTTGTCATGGGTGTAATAGAGGGAAAGTCGACAGTAGGAACTGTGAATGGCAAAAGATGTGTTGCATACAATGCCAAACATTGTTTTGCACAGAATATTTTGCAGTTTTGTACATAATAAGTTTCACCTGGTTGTGATAGCTAACTGATTCCTAGCAGTTTCCCTCAAACACTGTTCCTTGAAAAGAACTTCCTGGGAGAGCTGCAACAGGAAAACATAGATGCATTAGACACAGTATCAATCAACACAGATATATCCTCTTCAGATACAGACTATGGCTCTCAGTTTTCTGTGTCTGATAATGATAGTGTATTTGCTGAGTAAGTCTGGTTCACTCATATTTAAAATTGAACAGCCTAGTTAAATTGTTGCCAATCAGTCTGTTGGCCTTCAAAGATGACCAGGCCTTGCCTGGATCAACATCACATAGTAATCATAGGGTTGTGGTAGTAAATGCAAGTACTGTGCCCAACCCCTGTTATGCATTCAATCATCAAAGCAATGCTTTTATCTGCCCTGTTTGTAAAGGGTGCTGTCTGTGTTGTAAATGTAGTGTCCTTTCTGAGAAGAAGGAAAAGAGGCTCCTAAAGCATCTAGAGGGAAGAACTCTTCTCTGTTCTCTTTATTAGACAAAGCAGCTATACCTTGAGAAAAGAATCAAGAAGTTGGAGAGGAAGGTCTATGATAAAGAAGTACTAAATAGCTTGTAGCTTTACCTCTTTCTTACTAAAGACAAATGTTATATATTCTCTGTTGTTTCATAATATTGAGAAATATTTATTTAGCATAAGCAGGATGTATGCTACATTGCTCATTATGACTACTGTTTCCATTTTCCAGTCTGCCATGGTTTGCCTTTTCCAAAGGAATCTGTACAGTCTAACATCAAATTCGCCACAACCACAACTGTATGAGGCTAAACAATTGAGTAGTTTCTGTATTTGGACCACACTTGCCTCTATGTGAATAATTGGATAAGCAACCTGTACCATCTCTAATACTTTAGCAACTGTATTAAAAAGCACAGAGCATACAGGGATGTGATACGTTTTGCATCTTACTGATAAAGCTTTTACCAACAATGTTAACCTGTCTTCCCAGTATGATGTTGTCAAAATTTATTTATTTTAGTTTCCTGTTTTACTTAGGATACTCTTTTGAGAAAGAATACACAACTCTTGGATTGAGACTTTACTATATTCAACTTAGACTTAACCTGGCTTGGACCCCACTATTCTTTGTCACTAAGAGGGTAAGTGAGACCTTCTATATACTCAACCTCAATATTTATTTATTTTCCTCTCGTTATTCAGCCTGGACTAGCACTCATTGATATTACAGTACTAACCCAAACAGTCACTTATCTTACTGTAGGCAAACAAGATCTATTGTTTATTATTAACTAACTGAATACATTACAGAAACTACTACACAGGCCAACAGATAGTGTATCAACCTATCTCCTCACACCATACTGTGCTTGGATTGGTCTTGCTACATATTTAAATGCAGGAATGTGGTGGATGAACAGGAAAAGGCAAATAGAAAAGGTTGACTGAATTGAACCCTGACCTATCACTTTACATTGTGCTAGGCTTGGTTAGGCTACATATTACAATGTAGGAATAGGGAGGATGAAATGAACAGTAAAAGGCAGATACCAAGGATTGACTGAACTTGTACTAAACCTAAACAATGTGAATACAATATTTGGACCAAGTCCCTATCTTTAAGCTTATGTGGCAAAATCTAATACAATGAGTAGTGTAATGCTATTGTTGTTGTTGATCAAGCAAACGTGCAAACCCTGTTGTGGTATCTGGCTGGCACCCCAACTGAGCAAGGCATAAAGCCATACTCTCTTCATTCTAGGTGCTCCAACCTCTACTGCAAGTGTGCTTCATAGTAAGCTAACCATAATACCTGTCCATCAGGACTTGTAAGATTGTACACATATTGGGCAATGGCAAGTGCTGGGTATGTATCAACACATGGAACACACTGACAAGTGTAGTACCCAAGACATTTGCAACAAAGGTACTGAGTAGGAACAGATGGTGAGGTTGTTAGGAGGTACTGTGTGAGAGTGCCTGGAAGGAGAATAGCAACACCACAGTAGCTTAATGTCTCTATGCAGGTGATACTTTGAAGTAGACAGGTATTGTAGCAACATACATGAGTACAGATACTCCTGAATACATAGTGCATAGTAACAGACACTTGTTTATCACAGGGAAGCGTTCCTGTACTGAGTGCAAGAGATGGATACTGAGGGTGAGTGTAGAGAGCAAGATGGCTAACATGAAACCAGTATTTGTAAAGCCATTAATGACCTTTTCAGAATACAATTAGTACTTCTCAAAAGAGAATGTATAATGAAAAATCACTAACATTACAGAACCAATCACAATGCACATAGTATGAGTTTGCCCAGGAAAGGAAAACGTCTAGCTGCCAACTTGAAAACACTGTCAGCAAGCCACAAAGGCCTGTTTGACAAGTAAAAACTAGTATGTTATATGTAAATTTTAAGTAGTGAATAGAAAACCTGACCAGTGGCAATTGCAATATACAATAGTCTGTAGCTAAATAGGAAAAGTGTCTGAAGGGGTGAGAAAATAATGTTAAACGAATTTCTGAAGACATACCAGGCATCAATTTGTTCTCCCAAGCCTAATACAAATCCCAAAATCAAACATCCTGTACCTTGAACCTAGGCCAGGAGGATATAGAGTGATAGTTATAGCCTGTGATAGTGAGAATCCCTAAACAGGCCAAGACACTAAAAAATCAATCCAGGTATAAGGAGGTAATGACTAGATACATAAGTAGTAGATAGACTTTTGGTTTTTCTGACTGGTCTGGAGGATGTTGTAGCACCCTCTGTGACCTCCACCTTATCAGGAGGTCAGGGAATGTTGAATAACAATTTGGCATCTTCAAAACGCCCACACTCTTAAGCTGGCTGAATTTACGTCCTGTATTTGCTATAGTACAAAACAGTACAACTTGTAATAGTCCTGTAATCCTTAGAGCATTAGTGGAGGCCATGCCTCTTCCTCCACTTACTCCTTCCTTGGGAGACTCACTGGCATTAGCAATATAGCTGGCTCTTCTCAGACATCCTTCTATCAGGCTTCTCTCTCCCTAAAGTCATGCAGGAACCTAACAAGGACATTTAATAGTTAAGATGGGTAGATGATAGGACTTACAGCCCTGAACCAGATGGATTACTACTCACAGCATCTTGGAGACTACAAGCACCAAGAATAATACGTATTGATATTCTCAGCCATGTCCATAATGTGAAGAGAGTAGAATAGGGGTGTGGAGGAGAAACAGTACTGGTGGTAAGAAGAAAGGGTGTTCAGACATAGAATGCCAGACCTTTGAACACATAGTATGTAGGAAATTATATCTGCATATAGTAATTTGTGATGACACTACACATGTCTGCTTGACTCATATACATATTTAGAAACTGGTTCCCACATTCTGTGCATTCAAGAGTCTACAGAAGCAAATTTGGCACTTCTTCTTACTCTGTCATTACAACTACACTTAGTGAGAGGAGCATTCACATGTGTAGTAGTAGTGTCTATATCTATTTCGGTTCAACTGCACAGGGATTGTAGTAGGTATCAGTGACTCTATATATGTAAATATATATATATATATATGTATTCCCTTCTGTTAGACTAACAAGCTGTTTTGCATGAAAACGTCTCTTGTACTGTACACAAGGCTTGCAAGTATGTATTGTGTGCTTGAAAGTGAAAATAGTAGCCATTAATCTAATGTAGTATAAGTAGTATAGGCTAAAAGGCAAGCATATTACAAGATCTTGTAGGATAATATTATGGTAGATAAAGTAAGAAATTTAACTGCTTTATAATGTAGCAAAATGCCTGACACATACTGTATAGCAGAAGGACTTACATGATCTCATAGCCACATTTATTGACAATGAAGCAGGCATTGACAATAAGGAGGAGGTGGAGGAGGACAAGGAAGAGGAAGAGGAAGGAAATGATGAGTAGCCTATTAATTATGTATGCATATGGTGCTCATATTGCAGAATATTTCTACATTTTGTAGATGACACACTTGAAGCAGGTTCATTACTCCCCAAATACCTACCTTTGGCTTCTATGACTTCAAACATAGTAGAGGTCAATGATATCAATGCTATGGTGGAACAGGCAAAGAAACAAGCAAGGACTGGACCCAGTCCAGTCAAGCACAGTCTAGTTGAGCACCCTATTCTGGAGAACATCTTGGTACTGAATGAATTTCCTCATAGGACTGGTATGGATTACTCAAATTATGTTCTATATTGGATTAGTGTCAGAGTGAGTACCTTTTTTAAGTTCTCAATACTAATACAGTGAGGAGATAGTGGTCTACAGTGTACTTGACAGTCTCTAGAAGGGCACAAGCTAAGATACTTCTTGGTTTTATATTGGTACCATGCTGGCTAGATAAAGAATAGTCTGAAATTGTCTTTCTCACAGGTGTTGCTTCCAGACAAGCAACAGCAGAACTGGATATGTATGTTCTGCATGTGCTAAACCACACCCCTTTCTAGGATAGTTCAGCAAGGTCAACAGTGGAATTTCTTCAACCTTAGCTACCTAACAGCCATTATGTGTTCTCAATCAAAAGCATCCCCAAACACATTTACATCTATACCTCTGAACCTGGTACAGTCCAGAGCATCCTCAGTAAGACAGCACTCAAGCACTGTAAATTAAACTATGTTCCTAATGACAAAATGGATACAGTGTTCAACTATCTGTGCCATAAGAAGGAGAAACGTTTAGAACTCTCTATTGGAGACTGAGTACAAGTTAGCAAAGGGCTGTATTCAAAGGCTTTAGGTGTAGTCCAGAAGATTCAAGAAGGTGGTAAAGTCTCTGTTGCTGTCATACCCTGTGTACATCTGCCAGACAGGACTCAATTAAAAGGTCTTGCAGATTGTGACAAACTGAAAGAACGTTTTCTGGACCAAACTTTCAAAGTAGTCTCACACAAAGAGTTCCTCTTCAATAGCAAGTGCTTTGTTGATGGCCTCCACATAATTGACATTGACCATCTGTAGGATACACAGAAGGTCAATCCTAGTCTTCAGGATGTCTTCCCTTTTGCACACTCAAACCTGGGAAAGCTTGAGCAGGCTGAACCATTCCTTGAACTATTGGACAGGGTCATCCATAAGTGTCAGGCTCTTGTAGGAATTGTAGTAGCAATATCTAATGATACCTGTGAACTGACAGGTCTCTGCCCTCTTGACTCCTTCACTAATCTGAGCTTGACACAAGACAATGTCCAAAGTAAGGGTAATTTACCTAATATTACAGTCCTTTGTACTAACATCCAACAAATACTATTAGAAGGAGACTATGTTGAGGTCAAATTTGGTCAACACAGAGGACTTTGTGGGTTCATCATGCTTCAGTCAGTAGACTGTAGATATGTCTTACTATTGTCTGAAGAACAACCTGAGCTTGTGAGAAATATGATAACCCTGTGCTTCTAATACCAAACTAAAGCATAGTTTACACATAGGTCTGGGTGTAGAGAGCTTGGGTTGTAAAGGAAGAAATGGTCTCTGGTAGCAGGCGTGTTGCTCAAGCTACAGGTTATTTTGTAGGAGATGTGGTTATCTTTATAAAGGGGCCTTTAGTAGGACAGACAGGTATAGTGGAAAAGATGGATGGAGAACAGTTGACTATTGTACTGTTTGGCTGATTTAGAAAGAGTGTGAGTTAACAGCTTTTCCTGTGCCTCACACCCACTTATTTGTTATCTCTCAGATTGACATCAACATGTATGATGTAATGCAAACCACACTGTCTGCAGATATTGCAGAACTCAAGTGCAATTTGGCAATATTCAATTGAGATGCTCTGAATCCATTTGTTAGGCAGGACGTACTTATCCGAGGGAACACAGGTGCTGCCAGGCACACAAAGGGGCTAACAGGTACTGTACAGAGCATTGATGAAGACCTAGCAATAGCTTATGTGTTGTATGGATTTGAACCTGAGAACAGAATCAGAAAATTCGATCTCTCGAGTCTGGTGTCCTTGTGAGTAAGGTTTTACTATGCTAGCCAAGACATAACTTATACTTATCTAGGGACGACTTTGGATACCTGGGAGGGGATAAAGAACTGGAACAGAACAAGGTTGACAAGCTGATGTCTAAATACACTTGTAGACGTTATAAAGAACCATATCATGGAGTAACACTACCCCCTGAAGAGCCTATGGATCTTGGACCATCCAGAAGTGTATGGTAGCTTACAAAAGAAGAGAAAAGCTGTCAACCTCCTCTTGGGCCTGTTACAGGTACGTTTCTCAACATTATCTAGGCAGCCATTCATTATCTATGTCATAAATATTTTTTAAAACCCTATTTCTCACCTCTTAGACTTTTCAAAGACTGGCATGTGGATCTTTGCACCAAGTGTTATTAAACATGATGGAGCATCCATTTATGCTCACCATAGGAGCTCAAATAATCAATCTGGTTGGTTTCAGCCTAGAGATATGTAGGAAGATCATGAGCAGTGTAAGGCTGTAGGGTCACATTCAAGGTGCTATGTAGAACTAGCATTTAACAATGGTCACAGATGTGAACTGAAAAAGCTTCTGCCTGTCTCTGAACTCAGTACTTGCTGTCCAACCAAGAAGGGAGACTGTGTTGTCCAGGTTATAGGCAAGCCAGATGAAATAGAGTGTCTCTTCAACATGAAAGGGCTTCCATGTCAATATCCAGGTATGGGGGAAAAGCAACTGACATTGATACCTCTAAGTACTACTAGTAGTTCAAAAGCAAAGGACTACCTAGCAAATTATTTTACTCTAATAAAATTAGATAAAAATAATGTATAGATCATTCTGTGTACAAATAGCATTAATTCCAAAAGTCAACCACCAACTGCCCACTGACTGCCCACTAATTGCCTACTCTTGTAATATACTAGGACTTTAAATACAGAGTGTGAAAATTTATCTTCAAACCTCAACTTTGTCAAATTTAAATTTAAATATAATTATTCTGGTAAATATGTTTTCAGTTATAGGGGAGGGAAAAGAGAGAATTGTATAATTAGGATATAGATGGGAGGGAATTCAAAAAATACTACTTTCAAGTACAAATGATTGTAAACTAGCTACTTAACAAGATTGAACCCTTGGCCTTTTGTATGGGCCAAGCAGGAGTCACTAACAGAACACACACACCATACTGCTGGACCAATAAACTATTTTCTTTATAATGAAAAAAGATAACTTGTATGTAGAATTTTACCAAATCTGATAAATCTAGCACAAAGCCAACAGGAACCAACTGCCTGCCTCTACTCATAAACTGCCTGCTAACTGCCCACCAATTGCCTACTGCTTGCCTACTACTTGCCCACTGATTGCTTACTGATTGCCTACTGATTGCCTACTGCTTGCCCACTACTTGCCTACTGATTGCCTACTGATCACCCACTGATTGCCTACTGATTGCCTACTGCTTGCCCACTGCTTGCCCACTGCTTGCCCACTGATTGCCCACTGATCACCCACTGATTGCTCACTGATCGCCCACTGATCGCCCACTGATTGCCCACT